TGAAAAAAAGTTGCAACATGTGAAAATCAACAACTTTCACAAACACACTCTGTATCTAAAACTTAAGGTTTAAGCTGTAGTTAAAATTATTCAATTCTGATACATTTTGAAATTTCATTCTAGCGCCCTCTGGTGTCAATGTACTGAAAAACACTATATGAGAAAAAGTTGCAGCATGCATAAGGGAACAACTTCTCCAAACACACCATGCAGCTAAACCTTATAGTTTAAACTGTAATTAAGTTTTTTCACATTTTCTTGGCATTTTATATCTATAGCGCCATCTGGTGCCAACTTATCGAAATATGTTGTACCAAAAAAAGTTGCAAAAAGTAGTAAGAAACAACTTTTTCAAACATACTATGTACCTGAATCCCACAATTTTAGGCTCAAACTCTTTTTTGGAAAGAAAAATTCTTTCCAACATTTGTACACAAATATTTTTACGTGAGATTTTATCCCTTGCTTATAATGCTTGCCATTCTTCTTAATTTTTCCAATGCTTTCTTATTTTCTAATTTTTTAAAAGGATGAGCCAATAATTAATGAAGATCAAGAAGTTTCGAATGATATGCTCATGTGAAAAATATTCTTATTTTCTACGTTAAGTGTAATAGAATCACAAATAAAACGATTAATTTTTCATAAAATAATGAAATGAATCAAAATATTTCAAGATTAACTAAGAAAAACCAATGCAGTATTAAAATTGCCTGTGCTTTGGCAAGGCAGTCATATAACTCCTAAATCAGTCATACGACCGATTCAAATGGGATATTATAAGAGCGCCCCACCGATTTTATATCGCTTTGGTGATATAAAATTGATTTAATATTGATTTATCAGGCATTCACCAGTAAATGGAAGATAAATGCCTGATAAAATCGAGCAAATGGCATTCCAGTATCGGTTGCAGGTGAATTTTGGTTTCTCGGGTAATTATAGTGACTTTCCAGATATCAAATAATGTGCGGGAAAAGTTCTACACTCATCAGAGTGTCCTACTTAATTACTCGATTATGTCCCAATAATTAGCTAAATAACTAAAACTTAATCCGTGATTATTTTAAAAACAGCATTTAGATTATTTTTAAAAACAAACAGAAATAACATTTGTATTTACAAATCAAACGGCTTTAAAGTTTTTAAATAAAGTCAAATGAACTCGAACAAAACGAATACCTATGTATTCATTTTTATGAACAGTCTTTAGTATGATTTTTGATGATCTAAAAGATTAATCAAAATGACTCAAGATAAGCCAGAAAATGCCCCTGAACATTGTCCAGGAACAGAAAGTGATCAAGCTGGAAAAGCGTCAGCATGTGCTGGATGTCCAAATCAAACAATTTGTGCTTCAGGTAATATAAATAATTTATAGCAATTTCATGATGACTGAAAATAATTTCATGATTTCCCTTCAGGTCCCAAAGGTCCTGATCCTGGAATAGCATTAGTTAAACAAAGACTTTGTGATGTTAAAAATAAATTGATGGTGTTATCAGGCAAAGGAGGCGTTGGAAAATCGACAACAACTTCATTACTCGCTAGAATGTTTGCACATATGAATCAAGAACAAAACTTTGGCGTTCTTGACATCGACATTTGTGGACCATCACAACCAAGAGTATTTGGAGTTCTTGGTGAGCAGGTACATCAATCTGGATCAGGATGGTCACCAGTGTTTATAGAAGATAATTTATCTTTGATGTCAATTGGATTTCTTCTCGGATCACCTGACGATGCAGTTATTTGGCGTGGACCAAAGAAGAACGGAATGATTCGTCAATTCCTAAGTGAAGTTGACTGGGGACAATTGGATTATCTTGTCATTGACACACCACCAGGCACAAGTGATGAACACTTAAGTGCAACAACTTATCTCGCCGGCACTGATGGTAGTTGGGGTACAGTTCTAGTGACGACACCACAAGAAGTTTCACTTCTCGATGTTCGCAAGCAAATCACTTTTTGCAAGAAAATGAAAGTTCCAATCGTCGGAATCATCGAAAACATGTCAACATTCGTATGTCCAAAATGTACTGTCGAGTCAATAATCTTTCCAAACTCTACCAGCGCCAACTCAACCGAAGAAATGTGCACAGAAATGAACGTCAAGTTTCTCGGCAAACTTCCACTTGATCCACGATTAGCTCGTTGTTGTGATGAAGGAAAAGATTTCTTAACTGAATTTAAGACAAGTCCAACAGTGATAGCAATCAAGAACATAATTTTGGAGATTCAGAAACATTTTGAATGCAATTAAATATTTTTTTTTTAACATTACGAAATAAAAATATTTTGAGATTCTTAACTTTTATTATTGTTATTAATACTACTACTAAACATATTTAATAATTGTGAGTGTAAATATGTTTTATGTTAAGCTTATAAATATTATAATAAGCTTATTATTGACATGAGATTAGCAGTTTAGTTATACACGTTAAACCTTATTGCCTTCAGCACGTAAAAAGTGTTACAATTCATTAACCAACCGAATATAGAAGCGAAATACTTAAAGTATTTTTAATAAACACATTCTTAAAAGCAGAAGAAAAAAACTCACGACTTTAATGCTATTAAGAAAAGAAAGAAAAGTTAGTATGAAAAATGGCAAAGAACAAAATGCTTTGTGTGGGCTTCCCTTCTTCTGCTTATTTAGTGTCTTACAAAATAGAAACAGTCCTGAAGAAACATAAAGTCAATGCCTGTTTCACAAGTAGCATAAAGTTTAAAAGTGTCTCGCGTCTATATTCGTTTCGTTACTTAACTTATATAGCTTTGATTATATTCATCGTAATTAGTCACTGAATTTGAAATTTTGTGGAATCATAGGACGAACGTTTCCACCTTCGGCGTCATCCTTTTTGAGGAAACTGAATTCACCGCCAGCTGCAGATTTTAATTCAATCATTACTTCCATCATTTCACGTGACATGAAGAATGGTCGTGTCATTCCATCATTGAGTTCACAATCTTCACAGAAGCAGATGAAAATAGTGTCGAGAGTCATCTCGAAAACAGTCATGAAGCAATGAACGACGAGGAAAGAGAAGATGACTGCCAATGTTATTGGAATCCAAGGATAATTAAGTTCCTGTTGGGAAAGAAGAATTTTATCAAATATTTCATGTAATCATTTAATTATCTTACCATTGTCAATTCGAAGCATACAAAGCCGCTTATCAATACAACAAAAAGACGTCCCAAAACCAAAACAAAATCTCCAATTTGATTCAATGCGACAACATCGACGAGATTCTTTTTCATCAACTCAAAAGCTTTCTTTCCTGAATCAAATAGTGGTGTTCCATCTAATGCGACAATGATGTAACCATTACGAACGAGATATTGAAAAAAAATTTCCAATTGTGCAACGATGCAAATGAAACATAACGCAGCAATTTGAATGAATTCACTTTGTGAATTTTTTGCAGATTTCTAAGACAAGTTTAATGAATAATTTTAATATATTTTAAAACTTTTTGACTCACATTGATCCTTTCAGCAATTATACGAATGATTTTCACAATAGTTAATAATATGGAACCCAAACAAACAGAACCAATATGGAAACGAAGAAGATGACTGAAAGCTCTTTTGATCGGTGAGTTTAATTCGGTTTTTGTTCGAGTGAAGAACCATTGACAAACTGTGCTTGCAATGATGAAATGTTGACAACCCAAAATGAAAGAAGCGAACCAAGAGAAAGCAATCAAATTGATAACAAAAGCGGCTTTCACAACTTCGTCTCTTTCAAAATTAACATCCTCAAAACCGTAACCGTAGTTTATCCTTTTTGGTCTTCCCGCGCTTGCGATAATTATTGTAAAGTAAATGAAGATAATGAAAGTCAGTACAAATGTAATGAATGTCAATAAAGGTTCAACGACAATCATTGGAACATCAGCAAGTGCTTTGGATGCTTCTTTGAATAATTGAATGACGAATTTGATTCGTTTCCTTACGATTAAAAGGGTGACTCCAAATACCAATGCTATTACGCCGCATATAACTGACACAAAGAGATAATTTTGAGCAGATTCTTTTTCTCTTCCTTCCTTTGATTTCTTAGCTTCGAACATCGCTAACGAAAAAATGCATAATATTGCCATAAGAATAACAAATGCAATGTAAATAACCCAAATAACATATTTAGCTGCATAACGGAAGAGTATAAGCAAGATGTAGGAAAAGACCATGGCAACGACGACTGATATCAGAATATGAAACCAAGAGGTCCGGAAATCTTCAGCAACTTTTTCAAAAAAGTTTTCCTTGATTTTAAATTCAGATTCTTTAAAAAGACATCGATTTCCGACTTCAAAATATCCAGGAAAATCATCACAACTTTTAACACATGAAGCCTGAGTATAGGAAATGTGAGGATATCAAGGATGTTGCGTGACGTTTAACAAAGTAAACCGAAATTGTGTCTTGTCATTGTCCTAAAAAAATTCACACAAAAAATTATTCTTCAGCGTTTACTGATTTTTTTTTTGATTACTTACACCGCAACCTTCATATGGATTTTCTTCATTTTTGATTCCACATATATTTCCACAATCATCATGTCCATTTATAAATCGATAAATGCTTCCATTCAAGTATGCGTAAGTAACAAAACTAAACTAAGCGCATTAATAAATAAATTAGAAAAATGCTTAGAATTTAAATTTAGAATATTCAATTTACCAACACGATGACAAAGATAATGCAAACAAATATTGCTGGTGTGTCAGTGCGCTTTCGTTCTTGAGAGGAAACCAACTGTGAGTAGGAAGGAAAAATATTTCAAGACGGTTTATTTTTAAAATCTGTTTATTTGGGTAAGTACTAGCTTAAGAATACGAAAGTACTAGATTAGGAATCTTTTGTTGCTTCCGATTTGTGCTTTATTTATGTAAAGGAAAAAGGATAAAATGACAATATAACGAAAATGCTAGATAAGCATGTCTTAACTTGTACTTTGATCCAAAGAACTTATTTAAAGTTATTTCTTTAATTCTAATTAACTAGCCGGAAGCCCTAACACAGATTTATAATGAAATGCCTTAAAGTGAGTTTATGCTTGCCAAATGCAATGGCAATATCAATGCCAAATCTTATATTATTGATACAAAGAATTGTGAAATAAGTGTATAATTTATATTTTTAACTCACATAAGTAGTCAAATAAAAAGTTATGTTAAATTTAATTGAATGTCTTGAAATTTCTTACCATGTTTTTATGTTGATGTTTTCAATACCGGGTTTGACTTAAATTCTTTATTTTTAATGAGTAAATCAATCACCATTTCAATGAATCAACAGCACTTTAATATAGCTTCAAATAGCGATAAGAATGACCGTTTTCAACTAAATATTTTTTACGCGTTGCGGATTGTTATAAACACAACTTTTTTTCAAGAAGAAACTGAAGATACGCACGAATACTAAAATCGAGGAAAACATAAATTCAAGGGGCAGTTCACGAGAAAGTTATGAAGTGACAAGTTTTTAATAAAAAAATAGAAATAAGAAAAATCGGAGTCATTCAAGAATTGTCTAATAAATGGCTTTAAAAGTTATGTATAAAATTGTTATTCAACTGTTGAATTGCCCCCTGAATATTTTCCATCTCAATCCTCATAACAGGCGGTGTTAGCAAGTGTTGTATGAATATATGTAGAATAGTTAAACATAGTTTGAAGATAAACATATTTCTATCTACATATTTAATATTTAGATGTTGTCTATTTACGTTACTATATCGTCGTTTTCAACTGCAAGGATCTCTATTCTCTTTGTAAATTTTATGCATCCAGAACCTTTTTAAAACTTGAATTTATAATCTTTCATGTAGAAATCTTAAATGTTTTTAATATTACGAAATAGGTAATAAAAATATTTTGAGATTCTTACTTTTTATTATTATTAATACAAGTGAGTGTAAATATGGTTTAGGCATTTTTTCAATAGAGTGAAGGGCACATTATAAGTATTATATTAAAGCTCATTCTTATTATTGACATGAGATTAGCAGTTAAATTATAAAAGCAAAGCTTTGATTTTTAAGCACGTAAAAAGTGTTACAACTATATAGGTAGATAATTAACGAAACGAATGTAGATACTTGAAGTATTTATAATAAACACATTTTGAAAATAAAGGAAAAAAGTTAGCATGAAGAATGGCAAAAAACAAAATGCTTTGTTAAAGTTTCCCTTATTCCATTTTGTGTCTTATAACATGGAAAAAGCCCTGAAGAAGCATAAAATCAATGCTTATTATACAAGTAGAGGAAACCTCAAAGATTTACTTAGTGGATCAAAGGACAAAATCCTACGAAAGAAAAATCAGGATTAATAAAATTTTATGTTGAGATTGTCAAAACAGATACATTGGAAAACGCATTGAAGGTTCATAAATAGATTCAAGGAGAAATGTCTCGCGTCTACATTCGTTTCGTTACTTAACTTATATAGCTTTGATGATATTCATCGTAATTAGTCACTGAATTTGAAATTTTGTGGAATCAAAGGACGAACGTTTCCACCTTCGGCGTCATCCTTTTTGAGGAAATCAAATTCACCGCCAGCTGCAGATTTTAATTCAATCATTACTTCCATCATTTCACGTGACATGAAGAATGGTCGTGTCATTCCATCATTGAGTTCACAATCTTCACAGAAGCAGATGAAAATAGTGTCGAGAGTCATCTCGAAAACAGTCATGAAGCAATGAACGACGAGGAAAGAGAAGATGACGGCCAATGTTATTGGAATCCAAGGATAATTAAGTTCCTGTTGAGAAAGAAGAATTTTAACAAATATTTCATGTAATCATTTAATTATCTTACCATTGTCAATTCGAAGCATACAAAGCCGCTTATCAATACAACAAAAAGACGTCCCAAAACCAAAACAAAATCTCCAATTTGATTCAATGCGACAACATCGACGAGATTCTTTTTCATCAACTCAAAAGCTTTCTTTCCTGAATCAAACAATGGTGTTCCATCTAATGCGACAATGATGTAACCGTTACGAACGAGATATTGAAGAAATTGTTCCAATTGTTCCATAATGAAGCTGAAACATAACGCAGCAATTTTTGCCACAGCATTTTCAGATTTTTTTGCAGAATTCTAAGAAAACATCAAATGAAATAAACTTGAAATCACTTTAAACTTAAAACTCACAATGATACTTTCAAGAATCATACGAATAATCCTAGCGATTGTTATGATGATTGATCCCAAACAAACAGAGCCAATGTGGAAATTAAGAAGATGACTGAAAGCTCTTTTGATCGGTGAGTTTAATTCGGTTTTTGCACGTGTGAAGAACCATTGACAAACTGTGCTTGCAATGATGAAATGTTGACATCCCAAAATGAAAGAAGCGAACCAAAAGAAAGCAATAAAGTTGATGTAGAAAGCAGCTTCCATTACAAAATCTTTTTCAAACATAACTTTCTCATATCCTTCAGCATTTTTAATATTTTTTGGTGTTCCCGAACTTTGAATAATTAATGTAAAGTAAATGAAGAGAATGAATGTGAATAAAAGTGCGATGAAAGTTAATAAAGGTTCAACGACAATTAATGGAACATCGGAAAGGGCTTTGGATGCTTCCTTGAATAATTGAATGACGAGTTTGATTCTTTTCCGGAAAAAGTAAAGCATGACTCCAAATATCAATGCGACAATAGCACAAATAACTGACACAATGAGAAAAGTGTAAGCTGATTCCTCTTCTTTCCCTCCTTTTGATTTCATAACGAAGAACATTACTAAGGCGAGAATTGAGAAAATTGAGATAAGAATAACAATTCCGATGTAAATAATCCAAATGACGTATTTAGTTGCATAACGGAAGAGTATTAGCAAGATGTAGGAAAAGACCATGGCAACGACGACTGATATCAGAATATGGAACCAAGAAGTGCGGAAATCTTCAGCAACTTTTTCAAAGAAGTTTTCCTCGATTTGATCTTCCGATCCTTTCAGCAGACATCGATTTGCTACTTCAATGTACCCGGGAAAATCTTTACAACTCTTAACACATGAAGACTCAGTAGTAAATTTGCTTGGTGCTTGAGTATTTTGTGTGGCGTTCAACAAAGTATATGGCAATAACGTCTTGTCAGTGTTCTGGAAGGAAAAATAACAAAAATTTTAATTAATTTAGTTGTTAATGAAATTTATTAAAAACTTACACCGCAGCTTTTAAACGGATTTCCATCATTTTTAAGTCCGCAGACGTTTCCACAATCATCATAGCCATATATGAATCGATAAATGGTTCCATTAAAGAATGTGTAAGTAATAACACCAAACTAGACAAATTATTAAATAAGCTTAAACTGCAGAGAACTTTCAAAATCTTCAATTTACCAAAACGACGACAAAGATGATGCAAACAAGTATTGCTGGTGTGTCAGTGCGCTTTCGTTCTTGAGAGGAAACCAACTGTGAATAGGAAGGAAAAATATTTCAAGACGGTTTATTTTTAAAATCTGTTTATTTGGGTTCGTACCAGCTTAAGAATTCGAAAGTACTAGATTATGAATCTTTTGTTGCTTCCGATTTGTGCTTTATTTATGTAAAGGAAAAAGGATAAAATGACAATATAACGAAAATGCTAAATAAGCATGTTTTAACTTGTACTTTGATCCAAAGAACTTATTTAAAGTTATTTCTTTAATTCTAATTAACTAGCCGGAAGCCCTAACACAGATTTATAATGAAATGCCTTAAAGTGAGTTTATGCTTGCCAAATGCAATGGCAATATCAATGCCAAATCTTATATTATTGATACAAAGAATTGTGAAATAAGTGTATAATTTATATTTTTAACTCACATAAGTAGTCAAATAAAAAGTTATGTTAAATTTAATTGAATGTCTTGAAATTTCTTACCATGTTTTTATGTTGATGTTTTCAATACCGGGTTCACTAAAATTCTTTATTTTTAATGAGTAAATCAATCATTAATTGATTGTTACCATTTCAATGAATTAACAGCACTTTAATATAGCTTCAAATAGCGATAAGAATGGCCGTTTTCAAATAAATACTTTTTATGCGAGGCGGATTGTTATTAAAAACACAACTTTTTTCCAAGAAGAAATTGAAGATACGCACAAATACTAAAATCAAAGAATGCATATATTCAAGGGGCAATTCACAAGAAAGTAATAGAGTGAGAAGTTTTTATTAACAAACATAGAAATAAGGAAAATCAGAGAAATTAAATAGAATCAGAGGTCATTAAAGAATCATTAACCTTGTGTCTTATAGGTGAATTTAAAAGCTATGTATAAAATTGTTACTTAACTGTTGAGTTGCCCCTTGAATGATTTTTTTTTTCAACACAATCCCCCAACTAGGCGATGTTTGATAGTGTGTGTGTGAAACGAATATCGAATACCTAGTTAAAACGTAGTTTGAAAATAAAAACATCTGCATAAGTGTTGTCTATCTACATTAAATTTATAAAATTCTTTTCATTTAAAGCTGATCATATATAACTACCTAGGTAGTTTATTTTAATTATAGAATAGAGACAAATATGTCGTCTAAAATAATTAACAATAAAAAGTTAAGTAAACTTCTCGTACTCGAGTGATCTCAAGTTTTAGCATTAATNTGACAAAGATAATGCAAACAAATATTGCTGGTGTGTCAGTGCGCTTTCGTTCTTGAGAGGAAACCAACTGTGAGTAGGAAGGAAAAATATTTCAAGACGGTTTATTTTTAAAATCTGTTTATTTGGGTAAGTACTAGCTTAAGAATACGAAAGTACTAGATTAGGAATCTTTTGTTGCTTCCGATTTATGCTTTATTTATGTAAAGGAAAAAGGATAAAATGACAATATAACGAAAATGCTAAATAAGCATGTTTTAACTTGTACTTTGATCCAAAGAACTTATTTAAAGTTATTTCTTTAATTCTAATTAACTAGCCGGAAGCCCTAACACAGATTTATAATGAAATGCCTTAAAGTGAGTTTATGCTTGCCAAATGCAATGGCAATATCAATGCCAAATCTTATATTATTGATACAAAGAATTGTGAAATAAGTGTATAATTTAAATTTTCAACTCACATAAGTAATTGAATAGAAAGTTATGTTAAATTTAATTGAATGCTTTGAAATTTCTTACCATGACTTTAATGTTTAGGTTTAAAATATTTTAAATACCGGGTTCACTAAAATTCTTTATTTTTAATGAGTAAATCAATCATTCATTGATTGTTACCATTTCAATGAATCAACAGCACTTTAATATAGCTTCAAATAGCGATAAGAATGGCCGTTTTCAAATAAATACTTTTTATGCGAGGCGGATTGTTATTAAAAACACAACTTTTTTCCAAGAAGAAACTGAAGATACGCACAAATACTAAAATCAAAGAATGCATATATTCAAGGGGCAATTCACAAGAAAGTAATAGAGTGAGAAGTTTTTATTAACAAACATAGAAATAAGGAAAATCAGAGAAATTAAATAAAATCAGAGGTCATTAAAGAATCATTAACCTT